TGTAACGAGCATAAGGCTAAGGAGGGGAACCATCCCTCAAAAGCCGGCCCAAGAGGTTGGAGAACCTCCCGCCTTATAAGGACTCCCTGGTAAGGAGACCTCCCCGATGTGGGACTTGTTACATTACCACCCCCTTCGAAAGCCAGCGTCCTCGATGGACGCACTCCACGGTACTTCACTCACCGGCACTTCACTCGGCCTTCTTGCCGGTCAGAACCCTCCGTGGGTAGCCCTTCTCGATTTAGCTGGCTCTCAATGAAAGCACCATTGTAACGAGCATAAGGCTAAGGAGGGGAACCATCCCTCAAAAGCCGGCCCAAGAGGTTGGAGAACCTCCCGCCTTATAAGGACTCCTTGGTGAGGAGACCTCCCCGATGTGGGACTTGTTACACAGGGTCGGAACCACCAAATGTTAGCAAAAATGATATATTGATGCTAAAGGGTGGAAATCAACTTCTCCCTAAATTTGATATCACCCCAACAACTTTTAAACAATTGTGTCGACCATGACATAAATGTTTAATAGTTAAATTACTAGGAAAGATAGTGGGTTTTATGACTGAAAGAGAAACTACATATGATCCCGAAGACAGAGACGTAGGCTTTGATTTATAGATATCACGAATGATTACTTCTTAGTCAAATTTGATCTGAAAACAAACAGAGAAAAGACTATCAATGGGTGACCGTGAATGATATTTGACCATTATTTCACGGTTCAGCCTTGGGATCCTAAATTTTCAGCCTTGGATTCCAAAGTTGGCAAAACTTTGGTCTAGGTTTGATTCCCTAGCTTAGGGATGATATTTTATGATGAGAGCATTCTTCTCACGATAGCCTCAGCTTTGGAAAATCCCATTGAGGTAGATCTTGACACCTTGGACATGAACATAGGAAGGTTTGCCCAAGTATATGTTGAAATCGACCTCAACACCCCTCTTGTGGGAAAAATCAACATAAATAATTTTTGGTATAACGTTGAGTACGAGGACTCCATATTTTGTGTGCCTCTTACAAATGCTATGCACACATGAGGAGCATAAAAACGTCCACCACTGCAAATTTATTTTTTATACATCCAAGTACTAGACACGTTGCTAATCAAAGAACTCATGATCTGGACAAGAGTATCAAGACCTTTGTTCAATATAACTCCCTTAGGAGGACCATGATATTTACTACATCATGATGAGCAGTAGAAGGGTGACTCTTTCAAAGGTAAGACCCAAATCAATGACACAGAACAAACCTCAAAGGAGACACAGATGAAGACCATGGTGCCAGAACCAAGTTTAAATGAGGAACATTTACCTAAACCCATTGAGGTTGATATGACCATATGTAAGGCCTTTATATACATGTTATTTTATGATGAGTTGCTTTAAAGATTTAAACATCAAAGTGTAGAACATTCGGGGGTGATTAGTACCAAATGACGCCTTATAATTTGTGAATTGGTCAAAGATTTTATACCTTTTATCTTTATACTCTTAGAGACTCACTGCTTGTTTGGGGTGGCCTCAAATTTTTAGGACTCTTTGGGTTATGAACTTCTTTACATTGTTGAAGCAATTGGACATATAAGAGGAATCTGGGTTCTAGCTTCTTAGGATAGAGATTTCTCTACTATAGAGGTTAAGATCTTTCCTCAAGCCATCACATTTGAAATCTCCAAGAAAAACTCACATTGGATTTGCACAACAGTTTATGCTAATTTGCATAGACAATAGTGCTTGGAGGTGTGGAACCATCTTTTGGATCTCTGCCAGCATATAAAACTCCCTTGGATGATGTTTGACAATTTTAATGAGATTTCTAACTCATCCATGGTATGTGGAGGTCAATTTTCTTTATCTATTGCTTCTCAATTCATTGATATGATTGGATCTTATAATATGATTGATTTGGGAGCTACTAGCAATACATTCACTTGGCTCCAAACCCATAATGGCTTCCGAATTGCAAAACACTTTAGGAGGGATAAACAAAAAGAAGTAAATGTTCAACATTTTTTTATACAATTATTTGTAAAATTTAATAAAATTCTTTTCATTGTCACAATACAAAAGAATGTCTCAATGTACTTAAAAAATAAATATATTCAAGTTAAAATTTCACATAACTCAATCACGTTAAATGTTTTATATTTCTTCTTATATATGTTAAATATACGAGATCTTATAAAATTTGTGGATATTTTATAATTTTATAAAAAGAGTAATAGATAAAAAGTTAACACGAATAAGTCATGTAAAATTTTAAAAAGATCAAATTCATCCTCTCTCCAAGACTAAATACATTGGAGTAAATTTAAAAGTTAACTCTTGAGAATATTAAAGTCTATTATAATTTTTTTTTTTATCTATCAAAATTATATCATTAGCACAAGGTTCAAATTTTACTATAAATCAAACATAAATAAATTAAACTTGTTTTTTTTTCATAATTATATCATAAGTAATGTTTATCAACTTTATCAAATGATTAATCTCCATAAAAAAAATATAATCTTAACCTCATTTCGAGAAACAAACAGATTTTAAAACTTCAATTCCAAATTCTAGTCATAATAGGATAAACTTAACAAAATAATTAAAATTTTAAGTTGTTTAAACAAAAAAAAAAAGGTTTTATATAAAGATGTATTTACCTCATATAGAATAAAACATAATTTGTTTTGTTGTTGTAAAAGAAAATATCTAAATTGATCGCTTATATTCTGTAGTAAAATCATAATTCACATGGAGTATTCTTTTGAAAATATTGCATGAATCATTTTTTTCTCCGCTACAACTACCTTATTAGCACTCATAAATTTTTTTCTTATCAATATATTCCTTTCATATCACCGAGTGTTGATTTATAGACACCTAAACAATTTAAATATCCAAGACAATTTCCATATCAACAACCTATTTTTATTTTATTTTATTTTTTTACTTTTTTGAAATTCTTAAGTGGGTTTCACCTTTACACCTTGTTTATATATACTTATATAATAATAATAATAATAATAATTATTATTATTATTATTATTATTTAAGCACTTCATCTCTCTTACTCAACAACTTTAAAAGCTTTACTAAATGAGCTTCACAAGTGAGCTACATTCTCACAATTCATAAACATTTATTAACTAAAAAAATAACAATAATTGACATATTACTCGCAAATTAAGATTATATAAGTACTTGGTGCTTCCCAACAACTTCCAATCATGGGTTAAAAAGCAAGATAAGCACTCTGGATTGAGTTACCCTAATCCACAATTTCCATTTTTTTGTATTATCGATTATATTAATTATTTATCTTTCTTTTCTTATTTCTCAGTGTCTATGCTAATAGAAGTATCTATAGATTTTTTCTTATCTCGTTTTTTTTCTTTCTTTTTTCTGTCTATTCTATCTCTTTCTCTCGTTAGGTGTCGGGAGTATCCATCAATCATTTTTGTATTCTCAATGTATAACAACTAATTTGTTTCTCATCCATTCACTTTTCTCTTGTCTACGAGACAATGGGATTCTCCATTTCCCTTGTCTTCTACTTCGATTCAAACAAAGGCAAAACTTTTAGCATATCAAATTATTAAAATTAGCGTGCAAATCTCTAAACCATTTGGAAGATATATGAAGCAAGAAATTAAAATAGTTAGACGTGAGTGCAACCTGAAACTAGAAAAGAAAATAAAATGGATTGAGCTTAACTTAAGGATTAAACTTGAAAGTTGACGAGTTACTCAAATTGAATATACTAATATTAAACAAAATTTCTTTAGCATTATCAAACCTTACATTAATCAAGTACTTTAAGATCTTTCAAGTTATAATTAAAACAAACACAATGTACACAAATCAACTATCGGAAGAACCAAACCGTAAAACATATTAAACATAATAAAATAACAGAATTCCTATGAAGGGAATAGATTTAAAATAAGACCGTCCTTCAACTCCAAGCTCTAACTTTAGAAAATTTTTGAGCCATTGAGAACATATTTGAACCAAGAAGTCACTATTCACATGCGAGTGGAGTTGGGCTGGATTAGGTACGCTCAAGTTTAATCAGGAAACAAAAAATGATTCTAGTTTCATAAGTTAAACTAAAATGTTTACTAGTTACTCATTTTAACGAGTCAATATCAAACCTTACATTAACAAAATATATTAAGCTCTTTCAATTTGTATCTTAATTTGTTTCCATATATTTATGAAAGAATAATTCATTAAAATTAAATATTAATATATTAATTACTATGAAGTTGCTTAGATGCATAATTTTGTTGAATGGTGTAATTAACTGCTACAATTGTCAGGCAATAGATCGGTATGGCCCAAGATACAAACAAAAATGGCGTATATATAATTGAAAATTTGATGTCTCAAAGTCTCAATCAATTATAAGGGTGCATTTGAATTTTTAACTAGAGAACATTACACATTTGACACCTATTTGGCACGTAAACCAGGGATATTCCTAAGGCCCATCTTGCCAAGGACTAGCTTAGGAATAGCTGGAGGGTTATCAAGGCCCATGCTTCGACTAAACTCGTTTGCAAGCTCCACTAGCCTATACTTGTCACGCGCCACTTTCTTGTTCGAATTGTAGTAACCAAGCCATGCTTGATATGCTGCTTCTTTGTTCTTCATATCCACATGGGATAGAGCTCTTTCCACCTGTAAACATCAAAATCAAATTCATGCTATACCTCCAAAGCATCACATAATTTGTAAATCTGGTTTGTAGTTCCAAAAACACTCTTGTTATAATTGACAATGATCCTTCTTGCCATCACCACAATGACAAACCCTTACCATCTCACAGACTAGCCTCTTGTTTGTTTGAGGGGTAATAAAGTGGAAAAAAATTGAGAGAAAGGAAACAGGATAAAAATACTAAACTATCACCATTTTTTGAGGGGAGAGAAATAGGAAGTTATTTTGGCAAGAACCTCTGGAAAACATTTCCCTCTAGATTGGAACCAAATGGGAGAGAAATGATCTCTTTTCTCTTTTTCTGATCCATTCTTTAAAAATATATATATATATATATGATTTTTTTAAATAATAAATAATTTTTTGTTAAGAAAAAATATTATATTAAAAAAAATAACTATTTTATAAATAGATTTTTTAAAACAATTCATATATCTATTTTCTATCTCATTTCTATTCATCCAAACAAGTGAAAGAGAAATTATCTTGCTTTCTATTTCCATCCATTCAAACAACATAGCTTTTTCATTCTATTTCTCCTTAGTTTCTATCATTTTCCTATTTCCTTGCTTTCTATTTCACTCCTCATCCAAACAAGGCATTAAAATCTAAAATACCTTTTTCTTAGTTTCAGGATCAACCGAAGGTTCTGAACCTTTCTCAATAGGCAAATCTTTTACGGAATGTAAAAAGAAGTCTTCCCAAGGAGCCAGTAGCAGTATGCCCTGCCCTTCTTTCCCTCTTCGCCCTGTTCTACCCAGTCGATGTATGTATTGTTCTCTATCTGATGGTAAACCAACCTGTCGATTTGAGAAATGGAGGAAATAATTACTTTGATCAAATAATACCCTGTTTGTTGTAACTTCAACGCCAACAGGTGTTTACTTTAAGCAAATGTATTGAGCATTCTTTCAAACATTGATTCTCTTTCATGCCAATAGGTAAACCAAGGCTTGCAAGGACTGATAGCTATAATTGTGACAGTAATGACATTTGGAATGTGAATGAATGTGTAGCACAAGAAGTAAATGATGCAAAGAAGTTCTGCATGTAGTACCTGTACAACAAGAGTGACATCTGGATAATCAACTCCACGTGCAGATACATCTGAAGTTACCAGGATGAGACCCTTTGACTTCCGAAATTCCTCAGAGACTCTGGTTCTATAACTCTGAGGCTTTCTTGAATGGATTTCTCTCACATTCAACTTCAACTCACCAAGAAGGTCAGCAACAAGCCTAGTAACCATAGCAGTTGTGCAGAAAACAAGAACCTAACAAACCAATAGCTACATTACATATCCTTGTAAAATATGCGTTGTGAGATAGAAAAAATAAAAACCTTTTGTTGTCAAATCACAATTCTAGAATTTAACAAGCATAGACTAATCCAAAATTTTATTTTCTTGTTTGTTAATCTGTTAATCATGTTACATGTCTTGAAGTGAAAGGACAAAGAAAATCAATACAGCTGATAGCAGATTCAAAAGTATACCTTGTAATCAACGTCATCTGCAATGTGATCCTTCAGAAGAGCATATAATAAAGGGAAATGCTTGTCCAATGGGGCAACTAAATGCTTCTGGCGGACCTGAATTGATTCAAAAGCTCGTAAATAAAGACCATAAAAAGGCATAATAAGCAGGTATGTGCGAATGCACATTAATTACCTAACATATACACACATGCAAATACCTTTTAAGTTATTTAGCATGAATTATAAACAATTACCTGAGAATGTGTCTCCTCGGTACCCTCTTGAACTGTATTGATAAATTCATGATCCCTTCTCAAGGCAATATGACATACTTGACGCACCTTTGTAACAACAATAAAACCAAAATAAGCTTGGTACTTCTATCTTTTCCAAACATGAAACGCACAACCGTACACTAAAAAAGTAAAAGAAAAAAAAGGCCTACCTCTTCTGGAATGGTGGCAGAAAACATAAGACTCTGTCTTTGTTTAGGGACTGCAGCAATTATTTTCTCAATGTCTTTGCGAAATCCCATGTCAAGTAAATGATCAGCTTCATCAAGCACCAAAACTTTCACCCCCATCAGCCTAGTTGCAAAACCAGCAGTATTCTCGATATGATCTCTAAGCCTTCCAGGAGTAGCAACAAGGATCTGTACAGTATGAAAATTAACAATGCATGTGAATGGAACATGTAGCTTAGGCAGAACGCAATATTCAACCAACAAAGTCTGGAAAATTTGTTAATAATTAGCTATAAGATGATTATGCAAATAAATGAAAGGTACGAAGCCTTAAATCAAATTAAAATATCAAAATGCTATTAGTTTTAGGCTTCCATCTATAGGAAGGGGATCTTCATAAAAGTATTTCCTTAAACACTTTTACACCAACAAACATAAAAATTTGCTTCTCCTTGTCTCTTGATGTTAAATAGAATTTAGTTAAAAAAAAACTTGTGCTGATGATAAAAAATAAGTTCCAAGAAGTTTAGTTGAAAAAAAAAAATTATACAATTTGTGATGGCTGCAACATAAATATCCTAATAAGCATCATAATGTTCACCATCTTCGTGTCATGGCTGTTTAGTAGCATAGGGATAATTCAGAATATTTACATTTATTTATTGATATTGTGAGATGCAAATGAACTAATAACCAAATAAAATAAAACATTGGTGGCAATATATAGAATTTACCTGGCAAGGGTTTGCTTGCATTCGTTTCTGTTCTAAAGCAAGTCTTGTCCCTCCAATCACAACTTGAACACCAATGGTAGGATGATACTTCAGCAGTTTATTGGCCTCAGCAGCAGCTTGACTTGCTAGCTCTCGAGTTGGGCATATGACAAGAACATGAATTGGTGGCCGCCTTTGATCACGATCACTTGGAGGTAACTTTGCCACAGCTTCAATTGATGGAAGCTGAACAAAAACACTTAAAAGATAAGTAGAGTCAAAAGTCAAAATTAATATTAATCTGTTATTATAGGTGTAATATAACAATAAATTATCTTGCCATTCTTCTTGCCTTATGCTTCTTGTGCACCATATTCTTCCTCATGCTTGAGAGGAATTAGAGTACACACGCCTCTTTTCATTCTTTAATGAAAGACAAAATAGATCCAAATGGGTATAATATTTGATTTGTGTTTTTGAACCTTCAACTTTTGTCTATGATAAAGGGTATAAAAAGGAAAGCCAAGGTTGTGGCACATTAATAGAGATATACATCATCCATTTGCTAATGGTGCTAGACTTATTAAATTGACACAATTGTCTCTGGAAAAACCAAACTTAGAAGCTATGCTTCTAAATGATGGTAAAGGGGAGAGGAGAGTGATAAAAAATAGCATTAGACAATAATTTAGTAATGATGCTTGAGTCCTAACTCCTAAGCTATTGTATAGAGCTCATATTTGTTTTAAGTTCTACCAAAGATGCTTTTATTGATATAGTGAAAATAAAATTGGTTATGGTATGAACAGAAATTGTATTCTATATGTTTTTTGTTATGATCACAAATATCTTTTTTGTGAATTGTGATCATCATAATTATGAATTAATGAAAAATGATGATGTGTATTTCTTTACCAATATTCTACATCTACATAAATTTTCCTATAACTTTTTAGTAATGTATCCAAGACATATCGTATCCTAAATTTCAAAAAATTGTCATATCCATATCCGTGTCGTATCATACCCGTGTTGTACTAAGTATCTAGGCTTCATAGGTTGAAGCCCATGTAGACAATTTTGCTTGTTCTTTTGTTAAACATTCTTAATATTTTAAAATCTTCCATGGTATTTGTCGATCAACAAAGAACTTTCTTTAATACTCCTACTGCAGACTGGGGCAACAAAAGAAAGGGTTATAGGAGTTCCCATGCCTAAAATAAAAAAAGAATTAAAAAGAACATAGAAACAGAAATGCCACATCATCATGATAAATATCCGACTCTGATTTTGAAGCCCAAGGAATTAAGCAGAGTGATGCAATCAAGTAGTCTGCTTATTTCAATGGTTTAGGGTTTGGGGTAAGTGTCAACTGTACCCAACATTTAAGATAAATAGGCTATTAACCACTAATTCACTCAGGCAAAACACAAATTAAGAGACTTACCAAAAAGGCTACTGTTTTCCCAGTGCCTGTCTTCGCCTTGGCAAGGACATCCTTACCTAAAAATGAGAATTGTAATAAGAATAAGTGCCACCATAATAAATAAACTGAAGACATACATTAACAATGTCCACCAAAGCCAGAATAAATTGCTTTCTAATACTATAATATAGACCAGTAATTTGAATATTGATTCTTCACATAGTATGATAGTGGCATCCAAAAGTATAACCTCCATACAAAAAGTATCCTAAAAGAAAAGAGAGAAAAATAGGTGGAAGGGTATAACAAAATCAGATGACAATTCCAACAAACAGGCAGAACAGAACCACAAAATAAAAGACACTATATCCAAAAGACTGTTCTCTTTCAAATAGCTCCATCCTCCCAGAACAAGAAAGAAGACTTACCTTTGAGAATTACCGGAAGAGTAGCCTCCTGCACAACGGTCATTTTCTCATATCCAGCATCTTTGACTCCTTTTAATGACAGTGGGGAGATTGAACATTGGTCAAATCTGTGACATCAATCACAAAAATCAGACACTCAGAACACAACAGCCGCACAACATAATAAACCATGGATAAGAACATTCAAGTAAATGTAAGAGCCACCAAAGGTAAAGAATAAACATCATAGATGTACAAACAAGTACAGGGCTCACCTTTCTCTCTATATTAGTTACATTCCTATCCTCCTCCGCAAATACAAGATAACCAGTTGTGCCCTCCCTGAGAGTATGCACAAACCCCCCACCAGTTTCCAAATTCATGCATGGAAAGCACGGAACAACAACTCAGTAAGTAAAGTAGCATACTCCCATCCATCCAACACCTTGATCAAATAGTTATGCAAAGAATCCAGTACCCACTCAAACTCAAAAAAATATGCACTGTACATATACACACCCCTCTCCCCTTCAACTTCCGTTCTACTTTCTAACGCTCAAAATTCCCAATCAAGTACTACCCAGCACACAAAGGTTGTATTTAGATAAACTTCTTGACAAACACTAACAAGATAAGAAAATATTAATGTAAATTAAAATTAGTTTTGCATCAGTTAACACAAGAAAGTCGAAGTCCAGAAGTGACTTGATTTTAGGGGGGAAAAATAAGAAAGAAAGAATGAAATAGTTTCTCCATATAGCTTATAAATAAACTAATCCAAAAGCTTATTTTAAACTTAAGCATAAGCTAATTTTAGCTTTCAGAGAAACTTATTTAATTTTTTTTTTTTCATATTATCTTCTCCAAAAACTTATTTTTAACTTAAACATAAGCTATTTTTTAACTTTTGGATAAGCTTATCCAAACATCCTTACGAGAAAAACTTAATTCATTTTAGCCTCTTATTATTTTATCCTTTATTAACAAGTTTGTCCAAACAAGACCTAGCTTCTTACGCAATAGGCTCAACAGAAACAATGACACAGGCAAAGAAAGTATAACAAGTAGTAATGAAAAAACGCACACCTGGTGTCACTCAAATAAGAATCAGATCCTCCAGGGGAAGAGGGTCTGGGAACCGGTTCAGCGGTTCTCCGGTCGAAACCGCTTGGTTGGCCAAACAAAGCGGTTCTACTCTTGTTCAAAATCTCTTCATCCTCACTCTCTTCATCTTCATCTTCATCTTCATCCTCAGTAAGAAACTCTCCAACGCCACCCCTCTTCAAGTTCCTTCCACCAACATTATCCTCATCCTCACTCCTCGGCTGAAACTTCCTCCTGGCGCCACCGCCATCCTGTCTTCCCCTTCTCAAGCCCTCACCCCTCCTCTTCCCCAGCGTGGAAACCCTATCGTTCCTCCGCGGGGGCCGGAACTCGCGCTGCTCTTCGTCGCCGTCGTCGTCGGCGCGGCGGTCGAGGCGAGTGGCGAAGGGGTCGGGGCGGGCGGAGCGGAGGTCGTCGAGCCAGTCGCTGAGGTCGGCCTCGTCCTCGACGAGGCTCTTGGAGGGGCGGAGGGGGAGCTTGTCCCTGGGATGGGGGCGGGCGGAGAAGGCGCGAGGGCGAAACGGTGCGTTTCGGAGGAACTTGGAGGAGGGGAAGAAGAAGGTGCGAGAGAGGAGGGGCTTCATGGGAAGGAGGGGTTGGAGAAGACGGAGCTGAGATAAGAGCTGCGCGGGCATTGCAGCTGAGAGAGTGTTGAGCACTTGACCTCCTCTGTGCTTTGTGGAGGTACGAGAACAAGGATATTAGGGTTTAAGAATTACCATATTGCTAACATACTACTGTTACTTTATAGGAAAATACATATAAACATATTTATTATACACAAGAATGTACTTAGTGAGTTCATCTATCTTTAGAATACAACATAAAATTAAATTATTAACCATCTATAAATAAAATAAATTATTAATGATGTAGACGATTTTTTAAATAGTTATAATCCTAAGAGTAGTTTTTAAGAGGTTTTGAAAAGTAAAAAATAAAAATAAAAATTGTAATAAAAAAGAGGTATTTATAAAGATAAAATTCTTTAAATAATATGGATACAAAATCGAGTAATCTAGTATATGTTAAATTTTATAATAAATATTATATTTGAATATATAAATTATATATATAATTTTTATAAATATTAAATAAATATTTTTAAATATATAAGTAATATTTTATATTTATGACAAATACTTTGTATTCTAACACAAAATTATTTTATTTATTTTAATTTTATTTAAAATATTAATATTTTATTTAAAAATAATTATGATAAATAATAGTTAAATTAGATAAGAAATGTTAAGTTAAAGGTGATTTTGAACCTCTCAAGCTCTCAATTTTTAATGATAATGTTTTTCATTAGAGAAGGTGTTTTAAAATACTCATAAGACGAAACAAATAGTTTGTCTTATAAAGTCTTAAATGCATATCATTTTATAATGACTAACAACTACTAGCTACATGTGTGAGTGATTACTTAACATATAATTAAGAAAGTTTCTTGAAACTAACAAATCTGTTAAAGAAAATGAAGTCATGTCTTGCACCAAAACCAAAGACAAATGGACCCTTAAAATCTATGAGACCTTGAGTTGTAGAAAGAGGAATTCTAGAGAGAAGGACTATGGTTCGTGAGCTCTATTCCCTCAGTCTTCTTCTCTTTTCTTTCTTGGTTTCTTTCTAAGTTGTGTTGTTTGTGATTCAGGTAGTGGAGAAGCTTGAATCAAAGCATTGGAGTTGTACGGAGTTGAGTTTTCTTATTTTCCTCCTTGGCGTAGCTCGAATATCTGGCTTCGTTTTGTTTGAGGTAAGGAAAGCTAGAATTGTTGGGTTGAAATTGAAGTGTTGTGCTGTTGGGATTGATTTTCCATTAATAATGTGGATTAATTTGGGTAAGTAGAGGTGAAGATTTGGGGGTTTTCAGGTTGTCTTGGAGAATGAGATGATTTTGGAGTTGATTTGTGGTTGCATGTTGTTTTTATTGGAGTTTTTATGTTGATTGTTGTTAGTGTTAGTATGTTTGAGGATTGCATGTGCTGGATTTTCCTTAGATTGTTGGTTTTGATGAAAATTTTCAAAAATGGGTTGTTGGATTTTGGATCTATGTCGGGGCTCCTTCATGGCATTGAGCGGGCATTCATCAAAGGCCCAAGTATCATGATCACGTCAAGCACGAAGTTGGTTGTGCTGGGCATGAAGTGGGATTAGGGTCTCTAGGTGAATGGCGTCAGGTGTGGAGGAGGTGGCGTAGGGCGTGATATCAGTAAATGGAGTGTTGGGACCTCTATTGATATGGCATCAGGCGTGGCATTTACCACGCCGGGTGTGATTCTTTAGAGAAGTCTCTACTAGGCCTTAGCATCGGGCGAGACACCTTATGTTGGGTGTGAGAAGGCCCTAGTGCCCTCGAGGTTAATTCATCAGGTGTGACAATTATCGTGTCGAGCATAATTACCCTTGTAGGTCTCTGCCATATCTACCTCGAGCATGGCACTTGTAACACCTCGAGTTTCGTATCTTATAATAAATAGTATTTTAGAAATTATTTTCACATTTGATGTATTTATTTTAGAGTTTTAGATATTATTTAATTAGTTATATGAACTCTATTTTAATTATGAGACACAATTTGTATTATATTTTGTTTAATTAATGGAGCAGGAGTTCTTTTTATGAAATATATGTTATTATTAATAGTTATGTTTAAAGTTATCTTATAGAAGGGAGAAAGCATGTTTAATATTATTATTATTGTTATTATTTATGAAAAGGGAAGGAAGGACGTGGTGATCATTTGTTAATTATTTTTATTACTATTTATTTTATTAATTTTAAGAAAGTAAAGTTATTAGAATTTATAGAGTCATTTTCACATATTCACTTTTCTGCTCATTTCCTTCTTACGCCTTCCAAAGAACAAGGAGAATCCAAAGAAGAGAAACAGTCGAATTCCGCTTGTGCTTCATCTTCTGCTCATCAAGGTAAGCGGGGAGTGAGAAACGTCACTTGGGGGTGTGGGAATATTTATTAGGTAGTCGAATTGACCCTCAATCCCTTACCTGATGCATGCTCTTAGGAACATGCATTTTTTTGAATGTTTTCTATTTTTATGTTTGAGTTTTCTATTGTATTCCTTAATGTTTGCTAAGTGTGAATATGCATTCAATTTCGAGAATAGATAAGTTTTGATATGAATTAGAGTGTTTTGTGGGTTCTTGTGGAAAACCCTTTGAAAAGAAATTAAGAATATGATCTCTTGACAATAATTAAGGTAAATCATGTAAAATTGAGTATGGATTCATGTTCTGGTTGTTATTTGGAGGATTTGTACCGATTGACTAGTTTGAAAACATGCTTGACGTGAAAAAACATAAGATTTATGCAAAGTTAGAAATGCAGGTTGCGTTGGGGCGCCAACACAAATTCATGAGTATGGAAACAAAGTTCCCAGGGACTCTTGCGTCAGGCACGTGTTGAGTCTCTTTGGGCGCGGGTCCCTTGGAGGGCATGCGCTGGGTGCGTGGAGAGTTGTGTCAGGCTAGCTTCTCCGCTTTAGGCGCAACATTTAATTCACTAGGCACGCTTAGGGCGCACCGGGCGTGCTGTTCTGCTTTTGATGCAGTGTTTAGTATGTTGGGCATGAGTTGGGGCGTGTTAGGTGCGATCCTCATGATGTTTTGCATGTTTTAAGTTATGTTTAAAGGTGTTAGTGGTGTGAGAACTACCTTATTATTGTGTTAATGCAAGTGATTTGTTTTTATGAGCATGATGAGGATGAGAATCTCTTATATGTGACCTTGTGACTATGAGTATGATAATGTGATATGAGAACAAGTGACATGATGAGATATGACAAATGAAATGTTAAGTCCATGAACATGTGAATGTGTGACATGCATCATATGCATTTATGTGATGGGGTACAATATGAAGTACACCCTTAAGGAAGACCCTTCGAGTGAAACATTTTAGAGGAGTCATAGGGGATAACGTAGTTACAAAAGCCCAATTTTTCCCGTTTGTGTGCATGAAACATATCTTGCACGACTTCACTATCCTGACGAGACCCTAACAGTATATTCTTCTAGTTGAGAGTGCGCAGTTAAGTCGACATGTACTCTTAGACTACTCTAGGTCTGTTGCTTCGACAACATACCACGTGATATGTGATTATGAGACACGTGACTAGCACCACATGCATGCATTAAGAGTCAAGTCCATGACATAATTGTATGATGAGTGATTATGTGTGTGATATTGGCTATGTATGGATTGTACTTGTACCTTGTATTATGATTGTTGTGTGTGTGTTATCTAACATTTATTTATGTACTTGAACCTAGGTGAGATGTTTCTCACTCTCCTATTTGTTTTACATATGTTTTCCTATGTTGTACGTGATCATCAGCATAAGGATGTTGGCAATGAGGTTTAGGCTTCAGTTAGGCATGCTCTGATAGGATATGTGACATCAAGGCTTAGTTAGAACTAGTTTAGGACTTTATTGTTTTCATTCATGTTGAAAAACTTCGATTCTTTTTTTTTTTTTTTTTTTTTTATTTCTGCACTTGAGTTATGAGTTATGTTAAATGGATGTGAATCCTTTACTCCTATGTCGTTTGAAACATGGTTTTGATTAAGAAAAATCTATTTACTCAAAAATTATCTTTTGTATTTATTATTTATTTATGTGTTGGGGTAGAAGGTGTCACAACACTTACCATGCTGAGCGAGATTCCCTTGGGGAGTCTCTACCAAATCGGCACCAGGCAGAATTTTCTCCACGCGGGGCATGAGAGAGCTTGGAGCTCTCTGGTTGAGCTCCGCACCGAGGGAAATAGAAATTTTGCCGAGTGCAACTCTATGTGTTGTGGGAATATATGATATATTCTAGTGTGAAAATGAGTTATAAACATGTTAATTGAGTTGTTATTACGTGTTGAATGTGTTGTGTTGTTGGTATAACATTCTAAATTCTCAATTGTCAATTCTTACTTTTTTTATAAGTAAGACTATTATTTTTAGTAAAGTTATATATTGTATAATATGATGTCTTAGTATTAGTATTTAGTTGAATTTCTATTTTCATATGTATTAAATATATTTATTTTATCATAATAAGCTATAAATATATATATATATATATAATAAGCTATTTATTTTATCATTATATATATATATATATATATATATATATATATCATATGACAATGTATTTTAGTTATGTAGATGTGTATTTACGTTACTTTATATAAAGATAAAAAAAAAGAAGAAAAATCAAATTCAACTTGATAAACACATGCTCAGAGTGATGAAGTACGAATGGATTAGATTGAAATCTTATCCACCTGCGGGTGCATCTGACGATATTGAATGAGGTAAAAAAATTTAAATAGAAATTAAACTAAGTTAACTAAATTTTAGAATTAAACTATGTAACAGTAATAAAAAAAAAAATAATGATCATAACATTAGGTGTAAGAATTCATCTATAAATAGATGAAGGAGCTGATAAATGAGAGGCACGCTACGTAGAAGAAAACGGTTTCATAATTTTATCGTATTTGTAGAGTAGTAACTTTTTTCTCTACATTATCGCCAAACTTATTAAGGTAAGATGAGAAGAGCTTTATTCTTTTAAATTTTATATGCTACTATTTTTGTTTATTTTATGTTATATTTATGTGTATTTATTTGGTGAGATGTCCTTAACCTCATTTACTTGTTTAATCTATGATATTTTTTACTCTAAATAATTAAT